TATATATATATATATATATATATATATATATATACATATATACTTCTATACGTGGAACTGGGTAATCTTAAGCCTAAGAAAAGTTTTTCAAAACCCAAGTAAATACTGAATATATATTTCTCTATCCATCAAACTAGGTAACTTAAGACTGAAGAAACTGAATTCTAAACCTAACTACTGAAACTAAAGAATATAAATGACATATCTATCTATTCACTATACTTACCAAATTGTTGGCTTGCCATCAGGTTTTGGAGATGTTGCTACACCTGTGGGAGTGTCAAGTTGTCCCAGTAGGGGAAATAGGATCTTAACAAAGAATATTTACAATACATAAATCACCTTATTCTCTCTCAAACCTAATAAAAAATATGTAATGCACAACAAAACACTTAAGAAAAGCAACTTTAAAAGAAAGTTTTCATGACACCCAAAACTGTGAGCATGGATTTATTTGAAAAGTGACAATAACATGCAAATAGTCATTCCAAACACAATCCTTTGCAAAGTTGTTATCTTCCACAAATATCCAGGGTTAATTACCAAGAACCCGTATCCAACATAACCTAAAACCATACATATTTCTATGTTGTTCAGAATGGCCTGGACTGTAAAAACTAGAATGTAAATAACTTGGAAAATTTACTGGCTGTTTCCCAGACTTTAGTTGGAACATACCTGCATGGTGTAATTTAAACACGTTATACAGTAACCTTTCTTATAAGTAGGAAATAAAACTGGTTTATTGAGTGACACATTACTACTAGAGAAAAAAAAGGTAGGAAACTAGAGTCACATGAAACAGATAACTATGAAACAACCTTACCTGAATCCCACCAATGGAATTAAGAGTACTGTGGATGGAATGTGTTGTGATGGCCTTCACGTCCTGTGGGAAGATTAGCAAAGATAAATAATCTGATTAACTTTCTTATAAAAATACATATGTTGAAGGAAGCAACATAAAATAACTTGTAGTATGAAAAATATGAAGAGTACATAAAAACTCATATAAATTTTCACTCATTTCCTCAACTTTAGTCTTTTACCAAACTCTTACTCACAGCAAAACTATTTACAGTTAAAACAGCAAATGTAAATAATGAAAGAAGTACAAAGTGATGTTGAAATAATTAAGTTATACATAATGAAACCACCAAAACTTCAGCATACACTCATGATAAACACCTATAACTGAAAACACCAAAACTTCAGTACACACTCATGATAAACACCTATAACTGAAACCACCAAAACTTCAATGCACACTCATGATAAACACCTATAACTGAAACCACCAAACTTCAGTGCAGACTGATAGCAAACAACTTTAACTGGAGCAACAAAACTTCACTACAGACTCATAGCAAACAACTTTAACTGGAACAACAAAACTCCAGTACACACTCATGATAAACAACTTTAACTGGAGCAACAAAACTTCACTACAGACTCATAGCAAACAACTTTAACTGGAACAACAAAACTCCAGTACACACTCATGATAAACAACTTTAACTGGAGCAATAAAACTTCATTACAGACTCATAGCAAACAACTTTAACTGGAACAACAAAACTCCAGTACACACTCATGATAAACAACTTTAACTAGAGCACCAAAACTTCAGTATACACTCATGATAAACAACTTTAACTGAAACCACCAAAACTTCAGTGCAAACTGACTAGCAAACAACTTTAACTGGAGCAATAAAACTTCACTACAGACTCATAGCAAACAACTTTAACTGGAGCACCAAAACTTCAGTATAC